TCATGAGTGATAAATATGTTTATTAATTTGCCTTTGATAATAATCATGATAAATAAATGAGTGAATAACCAACGTATTTTTTCTCTTTGAGTGTTCTAACAATAATACTACTACAAACAGCTGTACATGTGACTGGCGTTCCGTTCACTTCAACGATGCAATCACCAACAATACATGTACTTGTTGATAAACTTAATTGGTCTGTATGAGTCACGTAAACCTGAAATTCTATTCATTTTATGACTTATCATTGACATTCACTGACCAATTCATTAACAGATTCTGTTTAAAAGTACTTCTCGGAGATGCTAATCGCAATATCAGCACTTCATTTCATTTCATATAAGTGTATAGGAACGCAAAGTTGCTAACTTCTTGAATGCTTGATTGGAATGACAAGAATGTTATGAAATAGGAAACAAGTAGTAAGAGCAACCTTATTGTTGTATGATTTAACATTCATTCCAAGTTTACTGCCCGGATATAAGATCATAATCCCCAGAAAGTAATCATACCCTGGCACCATGTCGTACCCTTTCGGTAAATGATCTGTTTTTACATTCCATATTGGTCGTTTCACTTTTATTGTGAACTGGAACTTAGTTGAGTCAATTGATTTCGCATTCAAACGAGCTTATGATGGCTTTTTAATAGTGATGCGAAGTTAATCCTTGTAAATGAACGATGAACAAAAGGTATGGTTCGATTGGAATGAAACAGTTAGGGAAATGAAAACGACTGAAATATGGATGACTTAATTCGTCGATTCAAGGAGGAGTGAACAATGAATTAATGAATGAATGATCCATAATGGAACAATGAGCGAGCCATTCGGAAATGCAACTGAATCGACGTACCGGTTTATTACTTTTTTTGAGATTCTTTAAAATTTCACAGAATTCTGCTTTACTGCTTATATGATGATCATCAATACAGCAAATGTGATCGCAAATATTCACTTTACCAGAAAATATTGAATGTTCTTCAATTTGTAATACTAACATTGCGTGTGATACGGTTAATCCTGCCTTAAGTTTGTCATTACTTGCTTATATGATCNTAACATTGCGTGTGATACGGTTAATCCTGCCTTAAGTTTGTCATTACTTGCTTATATGATCGTTATTTACAATTACTTCAATCACGCATCTTCAATAGAAAATGTCTTCTGCCTATTATTAGATGCGAATTTCAAGTTTCAACATAATGGCCGAGGCATCGCGATGCCCGAAATTATTTGATAACAATGAACATAAATGCACATTCCCTCTCACTAACATTCTTCAGCATCACATCTCATCCTCACCATCCGAATGCAACACATCTGACTACAATAATCGTTGTCAATTCCGGCACCAAATGAATTGTTTTTGTTCATTCAAATCAACGAACCCTTGTCTCAGGCGTTTCGAATAAACACGTTATTGTCAGCTCATTAATGAATTTTTTCGGTAATTTGACCGGGAATCCAACATGCGACAGACACGACTTATTATCACCTCCAACATTCTTTGCTCGTTTACTCCTCCTTAAACCTCACGTCAGTGTTGAACAATCAATCAGCTTGTCTTTCATCTGTCATCGATGAATTCATTCGTTTACTCAAAAAATTTCAAAGGTAATTCTCACATGTGCACCATTCCTTATGACAATTGAAGTGAAACAGTGAAACAATTAATTTTGCTCGGAAATAAACGGTGATACTAAATATTCTTTCATACTTTCGTATTTTTCCCTTCAAATATTCCAAACATTTTTGACCAGTAAACCAACATGCGACAATTAAGTAATTCTCAAAACCAGTTTCATCTCTACACACATTCCTATTCGAAATGGAACAAATGAAATTCGATGCGGAAATGAAGGAATAATAAGAAAGAGTTCAAAAGTGATTGGTTGTAAGAGTTGAAAGCAATGCAAATATGATTAACCAAGGGGTATCCTCAGTAGAAACGAGTGGATTTTGAGCGGCCCTGAGTGGATCGGCCGATCCATTCCGATCAGTCTTTTCTTTGGATGTTTTTGCTTGATCAGTCGGTACAGCAGAACCATTGGTAGAAACTTTATCCTTGTCACCTTTTAAGCGAGATGATGTTGGAGGTTTTGCTTTTGGATTGAGGGGTGATTCCTTTTGTTGTTTTTGTGATGAGAGTTGAGCTCTTTTTGATTTAGTTTCGTTTTTTGATTTAGTTTCGTGTTTACTTTGATTTTCTTTACTCGGCGGTGTCAAACGCCTTTCTGGATCCTTTTCGGTGATCGCTGCAGTTCGCTTTTCTTTTTCTCGTTTACTGTCCTCCTGGTGTTGTTGTACCGTGTCGATTTTACCCATCTAAAAATGTGTTCGATTCATTGCTATCACTCAACTGTCAAATAAATACACTCTAAGTATGTATTTCCTGGA